TTATAAGTACTGCATAACCTTAAAAATTAATGCTAGATATTGTTTCCTATCCTTTTCTTCACCATTCTTTTTTCATATATGTTAAATCGTTTAGATTATTGCTCTTCAGGAATGAAAAGTTTTGTTTGTAATATGTGTACAATGTGCTTTGGATTACATTTAAATTTGAAATAATAGCATCACAGATCTCAAATGCCATCATATCACATTGCATATTTTGGGGGGAAATATTTACATATTCTTAGAATGCATAGCATTTAGCATAGAGAGCCAATATGGTATAATAGTTAAAGCAACACAGTGGTGGGATTCAGTGGGTTCGCACCAGTTCAGCAGAACCGATACCTAATTTTTTCATAAATTCAGGGAACGGGCTCCAAAATGGCCAGACTAGCATGCATTCATGTTCCTCCAATTTCTTGCTTGCTGCAATCTGGCTTTGAATGCATGCTAGTTTGGCGTCTAAAAAAATCAGGTTTCCCCCCCCCCCCCGTGCTGGATTTTTGCTGCCATACTGTTTAACTTTCTGTAAAGTTTGCCCATTCTGCATCAAGTAAACTTTAAAGAAAGTTAAACGGTATGGCAGCAAAAATCCAGCACGAGGAAAAAAAACCTGTTTTTTTGAGACGCCAGACTAGTATGCATTCATGTGCCTTCAATCCCCTTGCTTGTTGCAAAGCCAAATTGGAATTCTCGAGCCGCTCCTTCCAGCCCATTTCGGAGCCAGTTCAAAAGCTAAGGGAATGCTTCCCACCCCACCCAATCGCTGTGGGGCTTCGTTTCCAAAGACCCTCTAGACAGGCTCCGGACAAAACTCCGGGACTGAAAAAGCAGCAACGGGAGCGAAGGGCTGTTCAAAGGAGGACGACAGAGAAAGTGGGAGAACTCACTACCGAACAAAGTGAGATGGGTACCGGGGCGTGGCACGGTAAGCAGTTGCGGAGTGAATGGGGCAGTTCCCCCCTCCCCCACCTGCCTTGTGGTAGTGACTCCCCCACTGCAGAGAACCAGTTATTAAATTATTTGAATCCCACCACTGAGGCAACAGAAGACTGAGCTCTGGTTCTCCTTAGGCATGAAAGCCAGCAGGATGATTTTAGGCTGGTCACTCTTTCGGAGCCCAACTCACCTCATTGGGTTATTATGGGAAAATAGAAGAAGAAAGGAGCATTTGTTATGTTTGCCAGTGAATTATTTAAAAATAATAAACTGGATAAAAAAATAAATACAGACAAAACACTTTAAAGCAAATTTGAACTGGATAGAATAATTAATTCATTAAAGAGTATTTCCATTATGTTTTCTCATGCAAAAATGTGACATAACTACACACATACACACATACAAAATAATACATGAACTTTTAGGAATTAGAAGAATTATTCTAAATAGCGTAAGCAATGTATTTGTGCTGATGTTTGCAATTACAATATCATATCCTCAAGTTAAATATGTTTTGAGTTAATATATGACTTCCCAGTCTCCATTTGTTTTTTAGATTGCTTAGAACAGTGATGGCGAACCTTTTAGAGACCGAGTGCCCAAACTGCAACCCAAACCCACTTATGCATCGTCGGGTGCCGGGTGGATGTGGCCAATTGGGTGGGTGTGGTCCATTGGGTGGGCATGGCTGCAGTGGTAATGGCAGACTGGTGGGACTAAAAAGTTCAATCAATCAATTCCCACTTTGCAAGATCTTTTTTTCCCCATGAGAAGTTGACTGATTGATTGAACCTTTTTTTTTTGCACGGCGGTGGAGGCCTAAAGCGAAAAGGTTTTATAAAACCCAGCTGAAAGCCTAGGACTGGGGTGACGGCACAGAGGGCCCTGAGTGCCGTCTCTGGCACCCGTGCCATAGGTTCGCCACCACTGCTCTAGTGAACTGTACATATTCAGTGATTTTTTTTTACCAGGTGATTATAAGCAAAGGAAAGAAAACTGGTTAAAGAGTAGTGCTGTTGTTTTATTTGAATTTCTAACATTGTGACAGCATAATACAAAAGAGAACAAATGCTGCCCTGTGTATTTTACAGGCCTTGTGAGAAGTCATATCTTTTAGTAATAATCTACCCTTTAGTTGTTCCAACAATTACCGTATTTTTCGCTCTATAAGACGCACCTGACCATAAGACGCACATACCGGTACTATACTATTTCTCTTTCCCTCTTTCTCTCCATTTCTCTCTCCCTCTCAAAGATCCTTAAAATCCTTAAAGGTTATGCTTGGGCGGAAGACGTTTTCTTTTACAGATGGGGCGGGTGGGCCTGACATTTGCGCGCAGGCAGGACCCCGCCTGCCGAGTCACCGCTTCCCCATTGCCCTCCAAGCCAGCCAGCTCCGGCTCCAGACCTCCCAGCTGACGGGCGCAGGTCCGGGGCTCGCCAGCTGACGGGTGCAGGAGGTAGGCGCCGCCGCGGCCTCCCAACCGCACCACCGCGGCCTCCCAGCCGCTTGCTTCTTCGGCTGGAGCAATTGCAAGGGCTTGCATGGTCGAATCCTGCACGCGAATGTCAGGCCCACCTGCCCCATCTGTAAAAGAAAACATCTTCCGCCCAAGCATAACGCCAGCAGTTCTGTGCCACAGAGGCTTGAAACACGGAGGCGCAGGACGCGGAGCGGTGCGGTGGGAGGCGGCATTCGCTCCATAAGACGCACAGACATTTTCCCCCATCTTTTGGGGGAGGAAAAGTGCATCTTATAGAGCGAAAAATACGGTAACTTTAATTCCACCAAAATATGCATAAACATTTCATAGTTAGGCATGTATGCAGAGAAAAAAATAATACTTCTTTATCTGAATAGTCATTACTTTAGTATCATTTTCTTTCCATTTTATTTTCCCACCCTTCAGCTTTACTCTGGAATGTTCTAAGCCAGTGGTGGCGAACCAATGGCACGGGTGCCAGAGGCGGCACTCAGAGCCCTCTCTGTGGGCACGCGTGCCGTCACCCCAGTCCTAGGCCTTCAGCTGGGTTTTATAAAACCTTTTCGCTTTAGGCCTCCGCCGCCGTGCAAAAAAAAAAAAAGGTTCAATCAATCAGTCAACTTCTCGTGGGGATAAAAGGATCTTGCAAAGTTGGAATTGATTGATTGAACTTTTTAGTCCCACCCAGTCTGCCATTACCACCGCAGCCATGCCCACCCAATGGGCCACACCCACCCGGCACTCGACGATGCATAAGTGGGTTTGGGTTGCAGTTTGGGCACTCGGTATCTAAAAGGTTCGCCATCACTGCACTAGAGTATTCCTCAATTATGATAAGTGGCTTGATCCATAATGATAATTTACTTAAAATCCCAATTTTACTAAAAGATGCACAATTTCCTAAAAACCTTTCATCTGATTTTCTTGGCTTCCCAGGAAATGTTTGCATTTAAAAAAAAAATCAGGGTAGTTTTAAAAAGTACATAATAATAAACATTGAGACACAATTTCGCTAATAATTTATTCATACAATAAGAAAAATTGTCTGTACCTGTAATTATTGTTGCTTACATGCAAATATATTAAATCAAATTACCCAAATATGCAAGCTTCATATCTTGGGGTAAGCACCATTTATAGAATATACATATGTTGAAAGAGAAACAAGCTCTTTCCCAAAATAATTGGTAATTTCAAGATACAGATAAACACAACCAATAGCAAATTATACTATAGGTATAATAGACATATTTAATGTACAAAGCTACGTACATTATTTTTATGTGACACTTGTGTTTTCGAATAACTTTTGTTTCTGCTAGTTAACATACAAACATTTCAGCAGAGAAAATTAAATAATTTTATCTAAAAACAGCATGTAAGTAATAAATATCTCTAGTGTGAGAGCTGTATTGATTTGTAACAGTAAGAGTAAAGAATCTTCAGGCACCCTACAAACTGATAGAAAGGTAGGGCATACATTTCTCAAGATCAGTTTCATTAGATGTATGAATTGTTGTAAATTGAAAATGACTACATACACAGTATAAATAAAATGATCAAATATTTATGAAAAAATAATAGATGTACAGTTTATAACAATATCTTGTAAAAAGAATTTTGGACATATTTTTAGAAAGTGTGAAAGCTGTAACTTATTCTTCAAAATAACATTTTATTGCTGAGATACTCTATAACATCAATAGAATTTCATATCTAAAATTCATACATCCAGTTTTGCAATGTTATTTCTTGAATAAATTCTTCAAAACACCAGCTACTTTAATACTGAGGCTTGAACTAAGATCTCAATAATTATTGAACACAATTGCAATTTAGATTTCCGAGTTCATTTGTTTACCTTTGAGTATGACAAATGTTGGGGATAACCTGTGTGAGAAGACAATTGCCATGTAAACTATCACAATTCTCTGATACATATGGCAAATTATGACATAGATCACTGGAATACATGAGATAGTTCTGCAGAGCTCTTCTTAGTTAAAAGGTCCCCAAAGCTTGGATGCATTATTTATTTTATTTCTTTATCAAATTTATTTCAGCCCGTCTCGCAGTTCAAGATGACTCTAAGTGGCTCAGCTTTTAAACGTTATCTTAAAAATCAACTATCTGGTTACCTTATTTAACTTCTTCAGAATTGGGGTACAACAATCCATATTTCATAAATCATCAACAAAGGTCGCAGAATGCCTGTAAATTATCCACTACATTACATTCAGCCATTTCTTCACAAAGAAAAGGATCTGTTCTCATAAACAAGATGATACATGAGCTGGTATCTTATGGATTTCAATAGTAGCAACATCCACACAATGAAAAATATATTTTGCCTTTTGAGAAATAATAACTGTAAGAAACAAATGAATTATACTGCACAACTGAGATGAACACATTGTCCCTGGCTGTGAAGAAAGCAATCTGAACTAACATGCTGAATTTCAAGTCTACCATCTAAGGGTGCTGGTCAATTGGAAGAAATATCACAGATATTGAAAGACTCAATTTAAATATATCTGGAATAATAAATACAACAGCATTTAAGAAAAAAATGGATTAAATTTGAGAATTTGTTGAGGCTTCTCCTTGATTTACATTTTCTGTTTGCACTGAGGGATTCAAAAACTGTCCTGATGCTCCAATGTATAGGCGTGATCTCATTGGCCATTTCTAGAAGATGAAGATGCAGGATAAATTAGTATTGCTTGCACAAATGCAGGAAAACAGCAGCTTTATTAGCAATTACAGTTCATTTAGGGATACATTTATCAGTTATGGAACTATAAACTCTTCCATCCTTTATAACCTGCTATTTGCATTAGACCAATGCAAATAGTAAGCATGTGTAATGGTATGTGGGAATGCTCTTGGGAGATAGTAAAATCACAGCCAGGGGAATAGCTAGATAAGTGATAACTTAGCTTGCAGCAAAAATACTCAGAAGGAACACTCCCTAGGTTTTTTGGGGCTGTAAAAACAAGATCTGTTAATGAAACCTTACAATAATAATACAGCTCCCGGTAGTTCATCTTGGTTTGTTTTTTGTCTTGTCACTTTGCAAGACTGACATCATGGGAAGGAGAGCTATGTAGATTAGTATGGAGGACGAAGGAGATCTTGATACCTCATTAGGTATCTTATCTAGATTGAGCTCTCACGCCTATTTATTTTTATTGTGCCGCATGTCTACAATTATTGACAACTTATCTCTACCAAAGATTTGCAAACTGGTGAAAGAATAACAATAGGCCAACCTATTTATTACATTTATTAGGTTTAAATCATCATAAACTACTGTCCTACATTAGATATTATTGCTCATATACTCTGCTTAAAGAAAAAATAGCATTAGTGTTTTCATCCATGTGTGCTTTCATACCAGATTTTCTTAAAAATATAGATATTTTCATAAGAGTACACCACATCCAATATGAGATTAGGAAACACATTTACAAATTTTCTATTTAGAAAAAAATGCAAAGTTTAACAGGGCTTATGTAATCCTATACACACACACACACACACACACACACTTTGATCTTGTGCTTGGTTATTCAGATAAACACAATTAAATCAATGGGATTTATTTTCTAATATACACATCTCAGAATATAAATCCCATTGATCTAGTTGTGTTTATCTGAAATAACCAAGCACAGAATCAAAGTGCTCATGTCATATGTATATACAATGAGCACAATTTTCCAGCAGTGAGATTTATTAAAATAGCAATAATTGCTGGTGCCTATTTACTTCTCAGTGCTATTAGCCAGGCCCAATGTAAAATAATAAATTTCATTAATCTGTGAAGAAATCAGGAGTGAGGTCTTCTGGTTTTAAAGACAACTAATGGAAATATTCAATTGCAACTATATCATGGATATATAATAGGGTCTTGTGAATGGTTATTTACAGGGCTTTTTTTGTCATAGAACGCACGGAACGGCGTTCCGGCACCTTTTTTTGAACCGAAGAACTGATTCCTTCTAAGCTGCCAGCACGAGTCCAGGTATGCCTGCAGAGCGATTTTTGCGGACCCCCAGTAGCCCAATCTGGGCTCCAGAGGCCTGGAAAAGGCCTCTGCTGCCTGGATCTATGGCTGCAAAGCGATTTCGTGCCCCCCCTTGGCTGATCTGAGCTCCAGAGGCCTTTTCCAGGCCTCCGGAGCCCGAATTAGGCTGCTGGGGGGGCTGCAAAAATCGCTCCGTGGCCATGGATCCAGGCTCTGGAGGCTTGGAAAAGGCCCCCGGAGCCCGGATCGGGCCGCTGGGGGGCTGCAAAATCGTTCCACGGCCATAGATCTGGGCTCCGGAGGCATTTTCCAGGCCTCCAGAGCCTGGATTGGGCTGCTGGGGGCCACAAAATTGCTCCCTAAAGTGGCTTCCCCCCCTGCTCCATAAAGGGCTTTCTACTGGAGTTCCGGCACCTTTTTTTTTTTTTTTTTTTTTTTTTACAAATAAAGCACTGGTTATTTAGAAGTAAGTCTCATTGAATTGAAAAAGTCTTCCTCCCAAAATCTACATAGGATTTTAACCTTGTACATTTTTTGGTAGAAACACTGATAATCACAGAGTTGAACAGAATAGAGTAGATTAGGACTAATCAATATTATCCAAAGGGTATGGTTTTTGAAGTTTCTAGAACGCTTTATCAGGAAAGAAAGATAAATGATGGGGCTAACTAGAATTTCAGAAAATTAGAAAGCCACTAAATGATGGCAAAGAAATAAGAAAAACATTGCAATGCCATCCCAGTTTTGCCGTTTTTCTTGTTGTTTATCTTGCCTGCTGCCTTGCCAAATGGGATAATCTGGTAGAAGCTATCTAAACAGAACTTCATATTGCAAATAAAGTGGCATTGTGAAGAATACATTGTGAAAAATTGCTTTTTCTATTAATTTCAGTGATGAGTCTCTAAAATAAATTATAATATTTTTCAAAGTTTTACCTCTGACATAATAAGCAGCCTATTGAATAAAACATACAATTCAGACACTTGCAGTAGCTAATATACTGTAATGCAGAATCAAATGGACTGTGTTTATGGCATATCTGTTGGTCATGGCCAACACCTGGTTTCTCGACATTTATTTGAAAATGCTCCTGAGATGTCAATGCTAATTATTTTAACAATATGCTTTACTTTCTGCTCTACATTATCATTTTTGCTGTATGTTCTCCTATGCTATAGCCAGAATGTGGATTTTTAAAAACAATTCAAAATATAATTATTTTTTGCTGGCGGACAAATCGGTAACTAATTATATATCAAGCCTATCATTGGTGTACATTTCAATAAAACTTTTTATAAAAAGTGTATACATGCTCATTCAAGATTATTGTTAGATAAGGTTAGTTTTGGAAACAAATAATGAAAGGACTACTTGCATCAAGATCCATTTAGTTTGGTTTAAGGTAATTCTTGATTATTAGGTTTTTAAGTAGTAGTTTCCTGAATTAAGATCAGTATAATTTATTAAAGGAATTATTTATTAAAGAGCTAGTAGCAAGGGGAAGACCTTTTGTAGTTTGAACTTGCAATATGAACTAAACATGGTTCATAGGGCAGTGGATTTTACATTGGGGTAATTACTAATGGGATATATTTGGGCATATCCTGGGGAAAATGGGGCAATTTGTAATAACATGTTTTTGAATTGAGTATCCAGTTTGGGATTGCCATTGTCGAAGTACTTATGTAAAACAACAGAATCTATTTTTGTGTGTGGGAATAATGACATTATTTGAGACCAGGAAAAGGGATAATTGTCTCAAACAGTTTACAAGCCAGTCATAAGGCATACATTGTTTTGTAATAAATGGGAGTCACTTAAAACCTTGTCTTAGTGTTGGGCATAATGGTTATGGTACACGGAGGTTTAATGCTGTATCTATCTGAAGTGTCATATGGAATCACATCAATGAATTGTGGTTCAGTTGGTTCTAATTGATTCTGCTGATTCTGTAATGCTAAAGCTTTCTTGTATAGACTAGTGTACTTGTATATTAGTATGCCCTTTTGCCTGAAGATTTCTACACAATGGAAAGGTTTTCAAACAATGCTATGATTGGACCTTCTAGGAAAAAAAATATTATTTGTTTTTGCCCTGCTTACCTTAACAGGGTGTAGGTAGCCATCCCCTCTCAGAGTTCCCAAGCCCTTGCCAGGCAATTCTTCTTCATCCTGCAAGCTGCGGGTGAGATGGGCAATGTAGGTGGTGGCTAGAAGCAGTACATCCAACTTGGAGAGCTTTGTGTCAGGTGGTACAGAGGGCAGAGTTCTCTGTAACTCTAAGAAGGCATGTCGCAGGGTCTGCACTCGGCTACGCTCTCGGGCCGCATTGGCTGCTGCAGGTCGCCCCAAGGTTCCCCCAGTCTGTTGTCCTAAGGAGTTAGTGCCAGATGTGGAGGGTGGCAGAGAGGCATTTGAGCTTGGAATATTGACCTCCTTGATGTTCTCGGGTGCATTTTTACAGTCCATTGGTAAGACCAAATCTGCAACCGACATGATGCAAATTCCTAGCTTATACCTTGGATTGTCACATTTTCTTTTTTCGAACTATATTGCTATCTGATTTTTAAGAACTTTCTATCACAATTTTCAGTATACTGAAATGTATTCTTTTAATGTGATACCTCTGTGCCAGCAACCTTGCAGTTTTATTTTTAAGATAGGAGAATTCAGCTGAAAAATCATCAACACATATTTCTGATTCACAATTTTAATGCATTTTCAGAAAATAATGACCACATTTAAATATTATATTAGGACATATTTTTAAGCATCTTAACTTGAAATAAATTTGGCGCCAACATCTATTATCTTTCAGAAGAAGTGAATCCCAATGAATGTGACTTAGTATCTAGCAGAAATGATTAGTGTTGAAATATTAATAAGTGTTCAAATAAATGTAAGAAGTCATGCTGTGCACAGCTCCCAATCACTTTATGGATATGTAAAGTACATTTCTTTACAGTAATGTGGAAATGATTTTCTTCCTGGATTTTTAGATATTTTTATGCATTTATTTTTACTTCCCAGTACTCCCCCAAACTACAGACTGGGATTTTCTGATGGTTCTACAAGTAAAGAGATCCAATACCATCCATTTATTTGGATCATTATTTAAGATTAGATGTTTCTACCATACTAAAAATAAACAAATAAATATGCAAGAATATAAGCCTGAACTGTGAACTCATTTATTGAACTGCTTTCCTCTTTAGTACTGATACATGTTGGCTTTAAAAGATAAAGATTAAATAGAAATGGAATATCATTTGGAATTTTCTAAAAATGCATACTTTTGCAGTCTGCAAACCACAAAGTACATTGAATCTAACTTGTATTTGCATTCAGTAAATCTTATATTTATTGAGGACTGTATTCATCTGGACTGTGCCTTATAAATTATAATCTAGTCTCTATAGTTAACAATAATAGTTTTTGTTAGCAAAACTAGCAAGCAACTAATAAAAGTATATCAAATTCGCATGCTGCCCAACTTTATTATTTAACTTTAATAAAAAGGTTTTTCTTAGTTACAGACTTTTCCATTCAACTGAAGTTATTTTTCTGAAATCAAACAATGGAGGAGAGGAGACACAAAGGAGTAAAAAGAAGATAGGATTGGAAATAACAGTGCTCTCTAAGAAAATTTTCCTGGTCAGCTTGAGAACTGATTTTATTGCCTCAATTTCAGTTTCAAGTTTCTAAATTTAAAATGAATTATTGAATAATAAATTATAATAAACATTGTAGAATTTTTTCCTGAGTTAACATCCATGATTGTTCTACAATTATGCCTTTTGTAAAGGCCTGCTAAGTTTTCAAATGTATCCAATTCTTTTTTGTTTTAAAATATTTATTAGCATAATTACTCATTAGTTGAGATTTTAAGTTTTAGTATTTAACATTTAGCTTATTAAAACTATAAATTAAAATTATTTTATAATTAAGCTATTTTACCGCAAAGGATTGTATATAAGTAATAACTGACTGTTTCAATTAAAGCTGCATTTAGGCAAGTCAATGAATTTATTGGATATTTAGGATTCGTTTATACAGTATATGAATGAATGCTAAATAAATAAATAAAACCAGCTTATCTAGGAAAGAAAGCTTTTGCTGTAGAACACTATTCTACACATTTATCTGAATTGCACATAGCTGGAAAATATTTCTGGGGCTTATTTCCACATACATGTTTAAAACATGAACAATCAGCCTAAATACGCCTGTATAACATTGGCATTTCGATTCAAAACGTGAGACCAGTGGGAATCAAGTCACACGGATCTGATAGTTTAAGTCCACGCTTAAATTCACTCCTATTTCACTTAGAATTTCTCGGTGTATTTTTAAAGATTAAGATTATATTTACATGCACACTTACTACAGAAGAACGGTCATTGGACGCATTTAAACCTACTGTACTTCTAAAGTAAATGAACAGAGCAAATCAAAACCCATCCGTATTAGTGGTCCACGTTACATTACAAAAACTAAATAAATCCTTTAAAATTATTTTTATTGTCTTTTGTACCGGGGAGTTCTCTAAGACTGCCTTGCTTGCATAATATTTTCTTATAAAGATAATAAATTAGAAATAATTCAAAGAGGAACAGCAGGATACGAGCGAATAAACGGTGGCTAGTGGGAAAGAAAGTTCAGGAAAACGAGAGGGATACACACAAGACTTGCAGTTCAAACTATTTGGAGGATCTTTAATTCCTCAAAGACAGGGCCAATAATAAGTCCGTAAGATCGCATAACTGCGACGCAGTGTTTTATAGAATTAGGGGGCGACCAAATTCGTGTATCTACCCAAAGAGCGTGAGAGAACACGGCGAGAGTATTAAAAAGTTGCTTCAAAAAGAACTTACTTGATCTCCTGGGGCCCCAATAAGGGAGACTGGGCGCCGCCGCTCTCCCGTGGCCGATCTAGTCCAGGACGGGACTGGGGAAGCCCCGGCCTTTTATAAGGGTTGGGGAGCGCGCCCACCAGCGCTCCGCTTTTGCTGACGCCTCCCCCCCCCCCCTTTCGCGTCGTCCTCTGCCCTCCCTGGCCAGATCTCTCGCCTGCGGGGAATCGAGACTGCTGTCCCTCGCAAAGCCGCCAACCGGTGCGTCCCCATCTTCGTTCGCGCACTGTCCTCCGAGACCCAGCCGCCACTTCGCGACAGGCAAGTCGGATCGCCTTCGAATGGCGACTTCCCAGGTTGCAGATCCACGCAATTTTCCTGGCATCATGAAACCCCAGTGGTTTCTCATTGCTTTTCCAATGGAGTCTTTCGGCTTCTCAGACAAGCTTATAGTCTGGCCTTCACGGATAATCCATCGCCCAGGTCGGCAAAAATAAGAGCCTCGTAGCATCTTGCAAAAAGTGTAAAATCTTAAGAACTCGTTCCTGCGAATATAGGTTAGAATGGGACAAGGACCCACTCGGGCTCCCTCCACATCTTTGGACTACTCAAGATCTCTTGCCAATGTAATTCACAACCTGTGTAAGATGAGGTTTAGGTGTATCATACACCATTGCGGATAAGCAATACATAAATTGAAATAATGTTTTTATAAATAATGCATGTAGAATATGGAATTAATAGAAAGATAACCATTCCATAATGGGTTTTCTCTGGCTGTTTGAATACAGATGTGTTTTAAAGTGTAGACCTAAAAGAGAGCAAGAGCTTTAAAACTGAACATCTGGGCAGTAGAATAAGCAGAAAAATAAAGTCCCTCCACATAACCTTCTTCTCTGTATTGAGGAACACTGGATTGTTTTAATATTAGTCCCTATTTTTAAATTAAAATTTTACATACTAATGTAAAAGGGTGCCTTGATGGCCTATGCACCTTTCCACCAATGCAATGAGGCTTCATCATAGATCCTGTCATATTTGAAGCCAGAGACCTCTGCTTTGTAAATGGACAGTTGTCCATCTAATATACATGTTGGACTTCAACTCTCACAATCTGACCAGCATCTATTCTGTTTGAAGATTATGAATGCTCACAGCCAGTACAGCTGGAGGATACCAGTTTAGGAAAAGCTAAATTAAGTACACCTCTTTATTAATGGTGCAACACAACATTTGTGAAAAGTTGTTAGCTGGCTAATCTTTTTCAGTTCCTCCGAATATCAATAGAAAGGTTTGGGGATTTTGCTTCTCTCTCCTTCCAAAGATGAATATATATGCAGAAAATAATTAATTGGAATTAGAATTCGAATAGCTACTTGCTTTTGAAGACACAAAAATATGTTTACCAGATGCTTGATAATTGTACAACTGTAATTCATTGGATTTTTAATAATCGAACTTATATATTTTTCACACTATCTTGTTTAAGATGGAGAGCATATTGATTTTGCTATAATCCGTGGATTAACACTCCTATTTATCCACTGATTAACTACATTTATTGAACAGAATTAGTTTCTAATTATAACTGCAATTATAATGAGTTGAAACAACCACAGAATCTATGATCCTGCTAGATTGCCTGGTTGGGTGATGTAGCAGTGATTATTGTTGCAATGTAACAGCAGCTTTAAGCACATGAAAGACAAAGCAAAGCAGATCTCATTGTAGAATAAGGTACAACAGAAAGAAAGGATTTAGATTTATCAAGTACTAGATAAAATTAGCTTCCCATAAAGTTTTGAAAACTTAGCATGTGTGTTCCACTTCACTTCTCTCTTCAGAAAGGCCTTGGTTTAGTGAAAACAAATGTTATGGGTCCCCTCAGGCAAGGCTTTGGCAGCAGCAACGTACATTTTCAGGCATGTTGCCAGGATTCAATGGTGGATGAAGGAGTGCCATTTCACAATCAACAGACAGATAAATGTGTAGCTCCCCCCCCACTCCCGTATAAAACCCTAGCGCAGTGGTTCTCACCCTGTGGGTCGGGACCCCATTTGGGGTCGATCGACCATTTCACGGGGGTCGCCAAGCAAGGCTGTCCGCCATTTTTTTGTCCGCCATTTTTCCCCCTTTTTCGGCGGGTGCCTTACCTCCCTTGAGCTGGGCCAGCTGGTGGTCGGCCTGCTCCATCTCTGCCGCTTGCCAGCTACGCCTCGGCCGGCGCAGGGGGCGGAACCATGCATGCGTGGCGCTCCCGGGCAGGGAAAGTCCTCGACTTACGACCGGTTGGGTAGTCCTTGACTTACAACCGGTTTAATCCTCGACTTACGACCGGTTTAGTCCTCGACTTACGACCGGTTTAGTCCTCGACTTACGACCGGTTGGGGGTCGCGGCATTAAAAAGGTTGAGAACCACTGCCCTAGCGCATCACACAGTAGATAGAAAGCACACCGTACCTGAGAGAAGGATTCTAGATTTGTTGTAACACTGAATGACTGACAAAACAGTCTCTTCTATGAGCATTGCATTGGAGCCTCTCTGGCAGCAACAAACATTTTGCATTATGGTAGAAGGGATGTCAACACAATTGGGGAGGGAGCAAGGTGCATAAT